CAAATGGGGTTGTGCTTTTTCTACGGCAGCCTTCATAAAATGTTTATACTGGAACGTATTGTTTGATTTTACATAATGGATAATTTATTAAAGCTTTATAGTTTCATTTTATACGTTTTAATCCATTCATAGGAAAACATTAATTTCTCACAACATGGCAACCCATCATAACATTAATGATGATTACTTTAACATGTGAGTGAGTGAGTGAGAGTGAGAGAGTGAGTGAGAGGGTGATTATTGTACCTCTGAAAGGTTTGAACTTGTTCTCCAGGTCAAATTCTTGTCTTCCCAGCCTGGACAGGTCGATGCGGAGGTCTGGGCAGATGGCGTATTCCTCGAGCGTCCGGCTGACCTGGTGGATTCTCTCCATCACTGTATCTGAAGACGGGCCTAACAAACACAACATCCAGAGACACATCTGTATATGTAACATTTCTGACATGACAGATAGGTTGAAACCCTGCTGACTTCAATTAAGTCGTCAAAGGACGAAGAAACAAACAAACCCTCTCTATCCGTCCTCACCTCCATTTGCCACATTGAACTTGATTCCAAAGTCTCCTCCGGGGCCTCCGGGGTTGTGACTGGCTGTGAGGATGATCCCACCAATGGCCTTGATCTTCCTGATGATGCAGGAAACAGCAGGGGTGGACAGGAGCCCGTTGTGGCCGATTACCAGACGACCAATCTGCACGGCATAGATAGTGATGAGGAGCAAACGTCAGCTGTACGTAAATGCATGACGTTGGTTCTGGTAAAGCTTTCTGATGAGATAGTGTGGTATTGTGCTCTTCTGTTTCTGTCTTAGATGTTTCATTATGAATATGAGAAAAAAAAATACTGAAGAAATGACCATCTAGGGGAAATTATGCAGAAAAAATGCTAATGTTTCCCGAGCTGGTTTTGGCCCAAGGTTTTGAGTTTCTTTTTTTTCCTACATGAGCCCCTGAGTCTAAGTGCAAGTGAAAGCAACACTGGCCCAAAGCCTCTCATCATTCCACAGGTGACTAATTGACAGCCTGTTTTTAAAAAAGCAAAACGATGTCCCCCAAGAGGGAGCCTAAATAACAGAGCTGCACTCTCTATTTAGAATGTGTATGCTACTTTTAAAGCGGTAATACCAACAGCATCCCATAATTCCCCTGCATAGCAGCTATTCTAAATAAAAGTGTCCTCACTGGAGAAGAATTTATTCTCCTGACGTCAGTGTATCCTCCTAACATCCGGCATGTTTCACGTGTATATAAAGGACAGACGAGGGAAAATGAAAAAAAAAAAAGAAAAAAAAAAAAAACCTGCTGACATGTGTAAACATATTTGTTATTTTACTCTACGTTTGGATGGGTGGGTGGGTTATCTGCAAGTGTTGCCCCTGTCCTGACTTGATTTGCGTACGGCAGGGCAGCATGGCCCGAGAGAGATAGAGGGGGGAGCATACGTAGGCAGGAAAATACAGCAGGATGGATGGAAGTGCTGATAAGGCCGACATCAAGAGACATTTGCCGGGCCAGCAGAAAGAAAAAAAAAGCGGACTGATCTCCAAAACAAATTATATTCCCTTCAGATTTTCCTTTGGAGCCTATCCAAACCAATCACAAAGATCTTCGAGCAAGCGTTTCAAAATGAGCTGTGGGGATTTTCCTCCCCTCTCTCTCTCTCTCTCTCTCTCTCTCTCTCTCTCTCTCTCTCTCTCTCTCATACTTTTATCTGCTGTGGACAGTAAAGAGTTCAGACACACTCTAGATGGGCCAGAAGTTTGCATGTGTAACTTTCTCTTATCATTTCTTACTCCTTATCTGAAACTTCCATGTTTCTGTCTCTATAAGGAATCACTGTAATAGCTGATGTGATGTCTGCCAGTACTTTAATGCTAAAACATAATGAACAATATATGAGATGCTTCATGTAAGATTCTGAATGGTAAATTGACTTGGAATTGTAAAGTGCTTTTCTAGACTTCTCTCTACTCAAAGCTGATTTGATATGGTAACAGAGATCCTAAAAATATACATTAAAGAAATATCTCTGCTGGCTTTTAATGGGTCCGCCTAACAATTCATTAGAACAAGTTACCTTATCACTGTTCCTGAAGATAGCAATTCTTCTTTTTCCCATAGCTCGTCTTATTAACCCTGCAAATCTTATTTTTTTCTATAACTACTGTGTTCATCCAGTAATGTTGGTTTCTTTTTCTCTATTAGATACTGTTCTTATCTATTTGCACCATGCTGCTCAGGGAGATGCCTCGTCGTTTTGTTGTCTTGCACAATGACAATAAAGACTTCAATCTTCAACCTTGAATGAATAAATAAGAGTGATATAGCTCTACTTAATGCAAAGTTAAACGAACATCAAAGGAAACAAACAGAGGCACGTTTTGTATAGAAGAATATTTTTCTTATTAAACAACTAGTAATCGTCTTGTGGGACCGTTTAAATGAATCTCATGACCCCTTATGGGGGACCAGACCCATGCTGGGAACCAATAGGCTACAGCAAACACATATGAGCATCTAAAATGAAAAATAAGACTGCTGTTGTCATTAATTAAATGTGGCACCTTGTTTTAATGTGTTACCTTGTGTTCAAACGGCATATATTTTACAGACACGTATCTGTCTTTTGCATCCAAAAAGTAGACAATTAGGTTTTAATCTATTCTATTCTATACTTTTTTTTTTCTGTCTCCACTTCAGAAGCAGTCAACTGACCTACGTGAAATGTTCCTTGTAAGAATATCTAAGTTTATATTGTGTGTAATATATTTCAGAAAGGTTAATCTGACGTTTGGTTATAAGTGTGTTGATGTAAGAGAACAAATGCTTGACAGTGTCAGGGTGTCAGCTCTGGTGATGCCCCCCTCCCTTCTTACCCCATTCGCAGCTGCCATCTGCACGATCACCTCGGTGGCAGCTCGGCTGAAGTAGCGGCCGTCGCTGCCCACCACCATGGTGCAGCCCTGTCTGTCCCGCAGGTCGATGGAGGACAGCACGCTCTGGATGTAGTTCTGCAGGTAGTTCTTCTTCCCCTCGAACACCGCAGTCTTCCTCCGCAGCCCGTTGGTACCGGGCCTCTGGTCCTCGAAGGGGGCGGTTTGGACCGTCACCACCGGGATGGGGCTCATCTCCATCCTCCCAGTACAAACAGCCTGGAGTTAGTGTAAAAGTTTGATCCAAGTGGTTTTCTTCCTCGGGGTAAAAGTAGAGGTAAAAGCTGAGGATTGACAGCCTGGAAAGTGAGGTGACAGCAGTTCCCACCCAGCCCCCCCCACCCCCAAAAGAAGTTATCACCTCAGCAACTTCTGTTAAAGCCCAGAGATCTGCATCCTCCAACATTCAGCAAGTCTCCCCTCTGCTGCTCGACTACTCCCTCTTTTCCTAATAAGCCTCAACAACTGACTACAAGAAAACTCACACACACACACACACACACAAATAGGGAGGGCCAGAATCTTCAGGCCCACCATCAGCTGAGCCTTAAGCCAGAAATAGACCATTGACTGATGGCAGAGGGGAATTGTGTCGGGACAACACCGGCGCTCTGCAACCGGACACTGCCCGGTGTTAAGGAGTATGTAGCCTAGTGAGGATATCTTAAGTATACTAGGGGGGATAAGCCGTGAGTGTAGAAGTTATAAGAGTTTTTAGATGGGGAAAGACAGCCTTTGGATGCAAGTAGGAGAGGCTTCTGTGAAAGACAATATTCAGATTGCTATCCTTTAAATCTTAGGCTATGCATGGGGCTGCATTATGTCTACTGGTCAACAGTGCGACCTAGAGGCAAAAAGATAGAACTGCATTTTCCTGTAGAACTAGAGAGCGTGTGTAATGCTTTTTAAGAACTAACGAAAAATACTGGAAAAATACGTTTTTTATATATACTTTCATATAAAGTTGCTGTAATTAGTCAAATAAATAAAAAAAGTAATTAACATGCAGCATTTCAGTCTTTTATTTTTACTTTTAGACGCATTAATTATAGCATATAAACTGTATATATAGACTACTAATTGCAAATCGTTTTAAAGTTGTTTTATATAGGTTTATATGTGTGTTTTAATTATTATTTCATGTTATGTTAATTTACAGTATTACAAGCCATGTTTAGGCGGAGTGATACACAATGTGAAAAGTCTTAGTGTTGTTTTGCTTTATATCAGCACTCATGGAAGGCCTTTTTCTTTATGTCACCAGAATATAACAACGAGCTGTTATACAACTACTTAACATTTTGCAAGCAACGGAATCGTTGAAGTTACAACAGGTAGGCCTACATAGTTCGAGGCTTCTCCAATGATTTTTTACGTGAAAATTACTGAACGCAACATTATTATTATTAATAATAATAATATTAATAATACATTTGATTTATAAAGCGCTTGCCAGGAGCTCAAAGACACTGTACATTCGTACATATTATTCTTAATGTAAACAGTGTGTGAGTATCTGTCGATGAAGTTCTCTCATTATTTTACTTAGAGGGGCTTCTGCAACTTTAAATTTAATGCTGACGTTAGCTGTATTTAAATGCATGTGGGAACATCTGTTTTCATCTGGTCAGTGATTTACCTCACTTAATACCAGCAAAATGATTAACAGATGTGATTTCTTAAATTTGAAGTTTTAAGCATTCCTTATGACAGCTCAATTTAAAATATTTGAATAGGCCTGGGTTGATTTTATACATTTTCTGACTGCAAAGTGGGTCATATAAGTTGAATTAAAGGAAACTTTAGGCCTACTGTTTAAACTTCAATCCCATGAAACCTTCAGGCAACATCTCAAGAAAACAATCTCAGAATGTTTTTGATTTAATATGTCCAACAAACATCACTATTAGGGATTCTTTCGTTCTTTCCTTAACAATTCTACAGCGCACTGACCCATAAGATCCTTTACAAACTGTCAATTGTTGCTCGAGCCAAATGAATCAAATAAGAAATCGAACAAAGTACCATGAAACACCGCAGGTATTTTTCAAGTTATTTATTTTGACACATGAATTTAAAAAAAAAAGACATTCACAGTGATAGTCTCTGTACGTTTCACAAATATATTACCACTCATCTTATTTACAATGATTTCTTTTCAGATATAACTTTGAATGTAAACGCACATAAATATCATGCAATCGAAACATTTCTTTAAGAAATGGGCTACACCAACGTGTCTTCACATCAAACAGACACTGTACAGTTGACTTCAGAGGCCTCAGCAGTGAGGGAAAGACAGTCTGAGGTGCTCGTTCACTAAAGGAGTTGTGCTCAGCATGGTTGGAGGGCAGAAAGGATTCCTGGGTGCTTGTAGGAGGGTAGGCATCAAACAGGCTGCAGGGCCCGACAATAGATGAGGGTACCCGAGAGAGCTGTGAGAGGTCTGCCGTGGATTCTGGTTCTGCGGACTGTTTGGAGCTGGCTTGCTCATGATGCTGTCAATGCTGAAGGAGCACTTTCTCTGCGCGCCAGGCTTTGGCTCTGTTGCGCAAAGCTGCACTCGGAAGTCTTTAGGCCCACTGCTTTTCCCGTGACTGCTCAGAGTTTGTGGCAGAAGGTGATAGGAAGACGGGGGCATCATTAACCCCTCCTGCAGGGGCATGTACCGGATAGGAGCAGTGTGCGGGGGGCTGACCTGACCCTGTAAGCAATATGGTTGTCCGTACGGCCGGTAGCAGTTCAAGTTGGAGTAAAACATAAGTCCGTCTTTGCCAAGCTCGGGCTGGTTCCTCTTGAAGCGCTTCCTCCGTCGCAGGAAGCTTCCATTGTCGAACATGTCCTCAGAGGCAGGGTCCAGAGACCAGTAGTTACCTTTGCCCGGGTTCCCAGGCTCCCTCGGGATCTTAATGAAGCAGTCGTTGAGGGAGAGGTTGTGCCTGATGGAGTTCTGCCAGGCGGGGAACTTGTCTCTGTAGTATGGAAACTTGTTGCTGATGAAGTCACAGATGCCACTCAGCGTCAGCTTCTTGTGCGGGCTCTGCAGGATGGCCATCGTGATGAGGGCGATGTAAGAGTAAGGAGGCTTGACCGTGCTGCTCTGGGCTTTCCTGGAGGACGGCGCGTCTGTGCAGAAACTGCTCTCGCTCTCCCCCGAGGAGTCATGCTCCGAAGAGTCAAACTCAGCTCCAGATTCAGCCGAGGAGCCGGAGAACTCATTGCGATATAAACGTCCATGTGCAGGCTCGTCCTCGCCAACGATGTCGACCTCATCCCCCTCAAGAGGCAGCACTGCGTGTTGGGAAGTTTCAAATTCACCGGAGAGAGTCATGGTCCCAGGCACTGTGTTCAGAAACGCGGAAAAACTTTACTGTGCCAAGGCAGCATCAATGCGTAAAAACGAAAGGCCCCTATGGCATGCGTAAAAGCGCATCTACCGTCTAGCTCTTTAAACTTGTGTGCTGTGGTAGAGAAAGCTGCAGCCTTATATGCTGGGAGGCTGCTGCCCTGCAGGCCAGTCCCATTAACCCTCTGGACCTATCAGAGCAGCCCCCTCGCCGCGGGGAGCCAGAGAAGGGTGGCACACAGGTGGCGGGGCAGGGGGGGGGACTTGGGGAATCCTTAAGTACGCACGAATATTTATGCAGAGAAAGCCCGATTTAGGAATTAGAAATTGTTGTATTTTAGTAAATATTGCAAACTTGGTTGGAATGAATACAAACAAAAACAAAATATACAAAGTAGAAATAGGTGAAGCAAAGAAACAAAACAGAACAAAACATTCTGCCTCAAATCTTATCTGTTTAAGACATATATTACAATTTGAATTGGTTTCATTTTATCGAAATCGTAATAATATTTTGTTGTAGCACTTACTGTGATCCCAAAAATACACAGTTTGTTAACCATTTGAGCCTCACCTATATGCGCTGTATTGTGTCTTATCTGGGCACTGGTTTTCTAAATTAAAGTATCTGAGGTTAGGGTATGTTAAATTTGGGTATTTTAATCATTTGAGCTGTGAATCTCGCGGCAGCACAGTTGGAGTCGGGATGTTCTTGGGAACTATAACACCACGCCTAACCCATGTTAAGAAACAAAGTGTTTCCCTCCTGGATCCCCTGCGGGTTTGTTTAGTTTGCCACCTCTGGATGCCCTCAGGTGGTGTGACCATGAAAATGGCCGTGGAGGGGCTCCCCGCAGCAGGCAGAGAAAAGAGGTAATAGTCGCCTTAACGAGGCCATCAGCATCAGAATCGAGTAGGAAACGGCTCAGCTGCTCGGTGCGCCCTGGGCTGCGGGGCTCAGCGCGGCTTTACGACCTGGATGAATAAGCAGGGCCATCCTCAAAGCAAACCGGTACAACAGCGGATATGTGACAAAACCGTGCTGCTAAAACATCTCCATTGCAAATGACCGTGTTGGGAAAACTCCACCTTTTTCGTCACCTCACTGAGCCTACTGTGTGTGAGCGTGCCTGTGTGTGAGATCTCACTTGACCTTAGGAACAGAGACTTCAGTTTAAAAAACAGAAAGAGGCTGCACACCGAGGTGAGACAGTATTGAGAGATAAATTCATTTTCATATCTATTCTTTTTTTTTTTAAGTCTTTTTAGTGTCAGCATTTTTTTCATGTATGATCATTTTATTTAACTTTTTATTTGTAAAGGGACCATGTACAATATTTAACATATTGTACCAGAGTTCACTTAGAGCTAGTTTACAGCCTTCAGTAATCATAATGTAATATAAATGACAGATATAAGAATGAAAATAGAATCATTTGAACAAATGACTACATCATCATTTCATTTACAGTTTTAATGTAGAAGGTGAAGGTGAATACATTTTTAGGAATCAGTGTGTGTGTGTGTGTTTTAGATAAAAGCAACAGTTAAAAGCATTGTCCTCTTGTTTATCTGCTTTCTTGCAATGAATTCATTAATAAAGTAATGCAGCACACAAACAGAAACACATTACCTCATCATCTACATCTGAGTTATCACACATCCAAACAGCCTTTATTGTAATCCTGCTAACCGGGTGTCATCTCAAAACTCTTTTAACAGTAAAAGCTAAACTGTTGATGCCCTTGGAGACATTTTTCACACTGTTGAGTATTTATGTGAATTTAGCACTTCAACACAAAAAAGAAACTCTGTCACTGTTGTTAATAGTGTTCAGCTGGAGCAGGTTTTTTTTTTTTTTTACAAAACTGTCTAAATAATTGTTTTGTTAAAGAGTATCAGAGCAGTCAAATACTTTCAGAGAAAAAACTTTATTTTGAATAATAAAAAAAAGCAGGATGTCAAAAGCCAGAAACATAAGCAAGGCTACTTTATCTGCAATGTCCAGTGTCTAACCACACTTCACTTTGTTTGTGTGTGTGTGTGTGTGTGTGTGTGTGTGTGTGTATTTGTGTGTCTTTTTGCAACTTTGACACGATGTGAGTTCCCAACCTTCAAAAAAATGCCTATTTTACAAAGTAATCTAAATGAAAACTCCAATGCATTGATTATCATTTAGGGCCTTTGTGATGTTTTTCTCTCTGCACACACTTTTGAAATCATGTTCAGGAAACATTTTTTTTATTTTCAAACTCTTAGTGTGCTTTTAAAGCAGACAGTGGTGGAATGACATCATTTGAAACCACAATATAGATCACCTTGTCCCCTGAACCATCCGCTGACGTACCTCGTGTTCTTGGAGGATGAACAGTCCTTGATTTATGGATGGCAAAAGCCACATTTTTTATTTTTTTTTGCTCCAGGAACTAAAGTTTTTAATTTAGAGCAGAGAGAGAGGAGATGAGCTTGTTGCTAATTTTCAGCCGCTCCTTGCACCACTGCAGAGATGAACTGTTCCCTCAGAATGTCCTTGTCCAGGTTTCTACCTGCAGAACAGAAGAGAGTCCATAGTGAGGATTAGCACGGCTCGGTTACACAGACCCTACACATGGAAACAGACACGACATGCGTGTATGTTACTGTAGGGATGTAGTGAACAGTGAATCTCAAGGCAAGCGAGATGGGCTCCAACACCCCAGAACATGCTTATTTTAACACATTAAGAAGGTAGGGAACCATTTACACATCTGTAATCCCCCCACTTCTAAACCATTCCCAAAGAATCTCAGCTGAACAAAAACGGAGCAACAGGCAAGATGAAGAAGAGACGAATGAATGACACGGCTGGTTGTGTTAAAATCGTATTTTCCAGAGAGTTTTCAGATGAAACTCAAGGAAATATGAATTACTCGTGTTATTGTGAAACTTTACTCTTCAATTGTTTGGATGAATGTTTTATCTTTGGACCGGTGCAGTGAGCAAACAATTTATAACTGAGTATCTAACTGCTACCAAATAAAGTACTTAAAAAAAAAAAAAAAAAAGAATTATGTTCGGATAAATATGTAAAAGAAGCTTGTGCGTGTCTGTGTCCTCACCTATAAAGACCAGGCGGTTGATCCGCGGGTTCTCCTCCCAAAGCTGCGGCGTCTCATTCAGGTCATATAGCTCGTGGACCCCCTGCAGCATCACTTGGTGTTCTTTCCCTGCGAGTGAAACTATACCCTGAAAACACACAAGTCACAAGTGCTGGTGAAACATTAACCCACACTGAATGAAACCTTTAGAACCTGATTGATATGGATAATAAAAGCAGCGGTTATTGATCGCTGCTTCCGCTCAGGGGACTATTGTGCTGTTGCGCCGTACCTTTAAGCGAATGACAGTCATGGGTTGCCCTTCTTTGTTCTTGTACATCTTCTCCCAAAGCAGATCCTGAAACAGAGGGAAATGTGGGTTTACTTTACAAAGGACTGTGTTGTGGTAGAGCTAATTAGTAATGGCAACAGTGGTGCTTGATGTGTTTACCTGGATGAAGACGTTTAAGGCATCCTCTGGAAGGTCTCCCGTGACCTCAAACGTCGCAGTTAAAATACTCTGAGGATGACAGATGAACGTTTGAGCAACATTAAGAACATGAAAGATATCTAGTGGGTTTTCAATTAAATGTCTTTCAAAAAATGGAACTCATAGAAACAAAGATGGCACACATTTAACAATATACTTAAATCAGGTTTGCTAAAAAAAAACTTTAAAAAAACAAATTCTAGTCCTTTTTTTTAGACTTTTTTAAGACCTGCACAAAAGAAAATGAATTCCACTTTTGCAAGACGCTTCAAAATCTTTGTTTGCCCTTGCCAACTACTCCCCTCTATTTTTCATCTCTAATCCAAATATCTCATCTTATCTCCACCATTCATAGTTTATCAATGTGTTTGTTATATGCTGCCATAAATATCCTGAATTGTCACATTAACAAGCAAATCCACAAAGAATCAAAATCATGTAAGACTACTGTAACCGTAAGACAGTGAAGATGTGAAGTATTCAGACATGACTCAAAGTACCATCATATATTCAAGACCTCTCACAAGTCCAAAAAAAAAAAAAAGACCCTAGAGAACCTGGTAAAAGTGAAAAAAAAACTGATTTTCTTCTTCAGTAAAAATAGCCCTCCTTTAATACCGCTCCATTGTATCTGTCTTTTTACTGCTAATCATGAAGTACATGTTGTGTTTTAAGTGTATTTCTAATGATTTTAAATGTGTCACCGTGTGTTTTTTAAAGGCATATATTTGCATCTGACTTTGCATGTTAAAGGTAGACAATTTTATTTTATTCTAATAAAACAAAACAGTCCATTGTGTTAAATTCCAACATGTAAAGCATATATTTTACAGTGAACTGTTCTCGAAGAATGATTATTTTAAAGATGCCAAGAAGGAGCTTTTTTTCCTAAGTTATATTTTGATGATTTTTGCCTTTATTAGATTTAGGACAGCTGAAGAGAGAAATGTTGGGAGGAGAAAGCTGCAGGATGACATGCAGCAAAGCCGAGTTTGGAGTTCAACTCACGGCCACTGTGACGAGGACTATGGCCTCTGTACGTGGGGGCCGAGTCATAACCGCTAGGACATCGCTACCCAGAGGAGCTAATTTGAACAAACTTTATATACATCAGGATTGTCAATGAAAAAGTGTATTTTACAAAATGATCACAATGTTTGTAGGACACTGTTTGAAATAATGAATAATGAAGTGTAGTATGAACTGCTGAGACTAAAGCGTTGTAGGTTAGTTTGTATTTAATTAAGTATTTAGATTAATTCCATCGCTACATCAGTGAGATTTACATTTTCAGTCTGTTAATAAGTCTTCTAGTCCACTGATTACATGCTCTTTAAATACATGTTAACATGAAAGTTTACTGAAACCAGAGAGTCATTGGGAATGTTAAACAAAAGAAGTGCTTTTACGCCTCGGCTGATGACTTTGTCAATGACTGTGTCAAAAACCACAACTCCACTCGGCACCTGAAACCAAATAACAGCTCCCCTCTTTATCTAACTACACCCCCCCTCCTCCTCCTTCAT